GCCCATTGACAGTCTTGCTTGGCAGAAATCGCGAGCCGTAGGGATGACGTTACTCTGAAGTGCATGGAGGCTTAAGACTCTCCAGAACAGCAGTGATTTTTCTTCCAGACCCCGAAGCACTTGGCCCCAAAGCCAGATTGGTCTGTGAAATGTAGACTTGCAGGAAGTCTGTGAGCACGCCTACCGTAGGTGCAGACATTAAAAAAAAGACGAGATCCGAGAAAGCCCTGGGGATCGCGCAGCAGGGGTGTGGTTGCGCATGGGGCTCCGAGTGGGGCGCTCAGCCCGAGCAGCTCGCCCCGCCATCTCGGGTGGAGCGACCAACGTAGGGAGGTGGAAAACAGCACGTGCTGTCAGCTTGCTCTGGCCCCGGCCGTCTTGTCCGCCCTCCCTCCTAGGCAGCATCCTGAAACTCAGAAAGCACAGAGCGCGTTGCTTTGCCCGTAGAGAAGCTCAGAGGGGGCATTCGGGCTCTTTGGATGACAGTCAGTGGCACCAAGAATGAAAGGCGCACGCCTGCGCTAATATGTGGTAGGTGCACGATATCTGTGCCAGCCTGCTTCGTGCGTAGGGGTGCAGCAGAGAGCTCCAGGCATTTTCTGGGGTGGAACGTTGCTGCTGGCACAGGAGAAGCCCGTGCTGGAGGCTGGGGTCTGCATCAAGACCTGCGCCTTCGTACAGGAACCCTTTGGTCTCCAATATCTGTAACAGGGTTGGAGCAAAGTGCCCATGGCAGCGTTTCAGGCTGTTGAACTGGGGGCTTCACAAGGCAGAAGGTTTTTAGAATGCAGATGAGTAATTCTGTTACCTCCCACAGGGATGACTCGGCTGAAGTGGATGTTTACAACCCAGCGAAGAATGAATGGGATAAAATCCCTGCCATGCTTCAGGTAGGACGCTTACTGACCTACTGATGCCTTTCAGTGTTAAAAATTGGCTTAGTTTACCTTTGGGAAACAAGGTGCCCTTTAGATTATAACCCTGTGCACATGGAGTGCATTTAAGCATATCGCAGTCATCTGACATTAAAAATCCCGGGCTGCGGTTGCACAGCTGGGTGTTCAGCCCGGCACACAAGGGCTGGGCAAGGACAGAAAACTCCCCCTCCTCCTGGTGTTTGGGCAGCGCTGGTTCAGAGCCAGAGTCGGCAACTGGTGGGGGCTGAGCCCCGTCCAAGCGAGCGGTTGCAGGACAGTGCTCGACACCTTTATCATCTGCCTAATTGGGCAAAACCCTCCTGTCTGATTGCTGTGTGTATTTATTTTTAAACTGTAGGTTCATGTTGGGGGAAGCGTGGCCGTGCTCGGCGGGAAGCTCTACGTCTCCGGTGGCTATGATAACACGTTTGAACTCTCGGACGTCCTGGAAGCCTACGACCCCGAGACACGAGGGGGGAGCGTGGTGGGCCGACTCCCCGAGCCCATCTTCTGGCACGGCAGCGTCAGCATATTCCGGCAGTTCATGCCCGAAACCACACAGGAGGACGATGGCATCACGCTGGACAACACCATCAACTTGAACAGGCAGCGCCAAAACCTTCACAACCAGAACCTTAACGAGCTTCGTTAGCAGGGGAAGGCGCTGTGCCCCTGGCTCCACGCGAGTTCGCTATCCAGAACCAGTGTTGCTTTAAGAGAAGGCAGAGGCAAACCGGTGCTTGGAAACAAAAACATACTGGTCATAGAGGGAGTGAAAACTCTGAACGCTTGAGGTGCTGTTGCGGAACTGCAGCCAGCAGAGAGCGAGGCCTCTGCTGCGACGTCCCTCGGCCCTTCTCCGGGGCAGGAGAAGGCACCGCGCTGCCCGCAGAGGAGACCCCAGAGGTGAACTCTGAGGAAAGAGATTGCGTGGAACGGCACCGCAGCATCGCAGCTTACGGCTTTTCATCAGACGCCTTTCACTGGGAGCTCCTTCACCCCGTAACGCTTCGTTTGCCACCAAAACCCTTTCTTCAGTTTCTTTTTTGGGAGGGGCCTGTTTGGTAGGATGGTGGTCTGGACCTCCACCTTTGTTCTGTGCCTCGGAGGAAGACAGACCTCCTGCGCACATCTTCTTCTGCGTGGTTAGAGCGGGGAAGGGCCTTCCTGGGGGAGCTGGAGGTCTGTTAGGGTGGGAGGTGGACAGGAGAACGTGGCCCTTCCCACCCTCTCGATGTGGTCCTTGGTTCCCGTTCATGCCTTCAGGAGGAACAGACGTCCTGTAGCAGGGTTCTCTCCGAGGCTGGGTTATGAAGCTTCACTTTTCCCTTCGTCTGAACTTCAGTTCTTCCTGTATTTGGTGGGGTTTTTATGTTGCAGCATTTGAACTCTTGCAGGTATTAGTTTTCCAACCCTTCCTAGCAGAGCACTTTTTCCTTCAAACAAGAAACGCCCGTATTTATCTTCTAATCACGTTCTCACAATTAGATTTGTTTTGTTCCTGATCACCCCAGCTGTGCCCTCCTTTAAGGGGAAGGGGAGAAGCGAGCACCCCTCCTAGCCGGCCCGAGGAGTGACTCCTGGGGCTGGCCGCTGCCGCTCCCCCTTCCCGGGGGGAGAGGGGTTGGTGGTGGGGCTGAGCTAGGGCAGAAAAAGCTGCGTCTGGCGGTGAGGGCTGTTTGCTGTCGGTCCTCCTGTGCCCAGCTCTCGGCCGGCACGCTGCGTTGGGCAGACGGGCCCATGCAGCGAGAGCGAGTTTTTGTTTCTTCACCGTTTTAAAGGAGCTCAGTCAGCATTGTACTATTTCGGGGGCGGGGGGGGGAAGAAAACAAACCTTGTTGGGAAAGGTGAGCGCAGCTTCCTCAGAAGATTCACTGCAGGCTCGCAGAACTGCCAGCGGTGTTCAGGCGCCTTGATGCAGAATTGCTTTTAAATGCATCGCCTTGTGTGAAGGGACCCACCAGACCTTCGGAGGGGTCTTGTGCCCATCGTGCCTCCAGCTTGCAGGAGCTCTCGGGATTTGGGCAATCAAAGATGCCGTTGTGTTCTGGCGAAGGCGTAGGAGTTAGCCGGAGCGTTGCAGATTGGAAGGTAGCTATTTTAGGGGTTTTTTCTTCTTTTTGTTTGAGGTTTGCTGGTTTTTTTGGCCTGTGTAAGATTTGCCTTTATACTCGCCCAAGTGACCTGGCTAGCTTGGGCTGTTCCCTCCAGCTACCTTAGCTGAAGCTACGTGCAGTTTACTCATGGAGTGTTTCTTGAGCAAGCGAACAGCTAAAGCTGCGGTACGGCTCACGCGAAAACGAGCGTCGCGCCTTCGGGAAAACTGTGAAGTGTGACAATGGCTGAAGTGTTGGCTGGATGCGTTCGCTTTTTCAGTCCTTTGTTTTTAACCAATAAGAAAAAAAATTTAATTTAAACTTAATTCAGAGATGGAAAGCCCATACACTTGACTGCATGCCTTCTGGCTTGCCCTTGGGTCGAGTAGTGTCGGAGCCCCATCTCCACATCATCTGCATCTTCACAGCTTTAAAAAAATCTGGTTTGCCTTGAGTGCTATTTTATGCTGCACTCCTCAGCTGTGGAAGCTGAGAAAGCCGCTCGTGACATCTGGGCTGTTCTCCAAGTCTGAAACTTTGACAGTGCCTTGAAACCGCCATGTGCCGGCGGAGGATCCCGGAGGGGGTCAAAAACCTCCCCGGCGCTGCCGCGGAGACGGCGTGCGCCGTGCAGCTGAACTGACGTTGCAGACCCAAGTATTTATGCTGAACTATAAATAGTACGCACACCCTGTCTCACTGTAGTGCTCGCTGCTGGACCTGCCGCTCCCAGATCCCCCAACCGGCTGAGCAGTTCGGGATCTGTATTTATTTTTTGTAAAATTCATTTGTGTCCGAAGCTTTGAGTACAGTTTAAATACCATCCTTTGAAACAAAGGCATTTTACATTTACAGATAATGTATTTTTATTCTCATAGTTTGTTTTTAAATTTACTTGCAGCAGTCAAGTTAAATAAAACGTGTTACATAAATCTCTCTGTCTTTGAGGGGAAGGTTACCGGAGTCGGCTTTTGCTGTGACGTTTCTCACTCTAGGCCTGAGGTACGTTTAAGCCGGAGACTTTTCTGCCTTCTCGGTGAGTAGAAGAGGGAAAGGGGAGCGAGCGCAGCTGCCCCTCTGGGGGATGTGGGTACGCAGTGATCTTCCCCCGCCCCAGGAATACTCAGGAAACGGTGCTCAATGTCACGGCACCCGTGGATCATGTTATTTTGGACAAATATAAATCTCCACACCTAAAACTGGGAGCTTAGAGCATGGTCCAACTCCTTGAGCTATCGTGTTTCCATTGAAGCAACAGCTAAATTATGAGAAGTGAGAAGCTACGGGTCGTGCCCTGCCTTGCATGGGGCAAAGAAAGGGCACTTAGCAGACACTTGACAGAATGAAGTAGAAATAAAGCACAAATGTAACGGAGGAGCCGATGCTTTTGGCAAGCCTCTAAGGACAGGGGCAGAGCCGCACTCCCGTCAGGAAGGTAAGCTTTAATCACCAGCTTTCGGGCTCCAAGGCAGAGCTTCCAGCACAAGGCGAGAGTGCTGGAGGGAAGGGGGGGGGGAGCACCAGCCGCCCCTCCCCACCGCAAACGAGAGCTTGCTGAAAAGCAATTCACAGCATTACACACACGGAGTTGCCAGTCGCATCCGCCTCATACAGCGTACGTACGTTTATTTAAGTAGCCATTCTGAGTAGCTTTGCGTTTGTTTCTTCGAGACCTGATTATAACTTCATTACAACTTCATTTCCCTGCACCCTGGGGTGGGAGCTTTGTGGGGAAGGAGGGGAGGGGGCAGATGCACAACTCGAACAAGCATGGCAGAGAGTGGCTCCAGCCTAACGCTTTATCGTGTTAGTGTAGGGTGCGCGCAGGCGGGCACGCTATGTTTGACAGTCTTCGGGAATCGTTGTTGTTATAATTAGCGATTGCTCAATCACATCCGCCGTAGAGAAGTTCTCGTTTGAGCAGAGTCTCTGCACGGGGATCTCCTCGGGCAGGGAGCTGCGTGACAGGGACTCCACGATCACCTCAGCTGAGCCCACCTCCAGCTCCGGGGGCGGCTGCAGCGCCCCCACCACGGCCTTCTCGTCCTCGATGATCAGGTTCCGCAGCTTCCGCTGCCTGGGGTTGTAGTTCTCCACCCGGTCGTGAATCTCCATGTGGCGCCTCAGGTGAGCCTGGGAAAGGGAGAGGGGCAAGGAGGGGCCTGGTGAGGGCCTGCCCCCATGCCGCGTGCTCCGCGGGGGTCCCCAAAGCCGGGGAAGGCCTCACCTGCCGCGTGAACTTGTAGCCGCACTCAGTGCACTCGAACTTCCTCACGCCCTTGTGCCGGCGGACGTGGACGCGCAGCTGTTCAACAGCTGAGAAGGGAAGCGAGAGCCTGTTGGCAGCGGCACCGCGCTCGCAGCGATGCCATCCTGCGCCACGGGAAGGAGGGCAGTCTCTAAAGAGCTGCGCAAAAGCTCGATGCCCTGGCTGTTACCTTTGAAGGTCTTCCCGCAGATCTGGCAGAAGTGGGGCCTCCCCTCCTGGTGCCGGCTGGCGATGTGCCTCAGCAGGGGCCCCTTCTCCGTGAAGCGCTGATCGCAGAACTCGCAGCTGAAGGGGCGCTCCCCGGTGTGGGTCCGGTTGTGCTTGTCCAGGCTCGCTGCAGCAAAGACCGCATACGTGCGGCACGGTCGGTCTGTGCCAGGCTGGTTAGGAAGGCTCAGAAGGAGCAGCCTGCTGGTCCAGGCTAACCGTTACTGGGGAAAACTCATCCATTTCTTCCTCTTTTGTGCTGTGAGAGTAATGGAGGGAACGGGAATGTGCCTTGCTCAGCGCTGGCATGTGCTCATGAGGGCGTGGCTTTGCTCCCCAGGGGAAGTGGGCAGGAGAAGACGAGTTTTGCAGCACAGCTGCATCCTGGATGCCGGAGCACAGTGCTCGGCACTACCAGCCCCAGCCGCGTGCCCACGGAGGGTACCTTGTGTCCTGAAGGTCTTGCCACAGAGGTGGCACTGGAAGGGCTTCTCGCCGGTGTGCGTGCGCAGGTGCATGTTGAGGTTGGCTTTCTGCGTGAAGGCGTGGTGGCAGAACTCGCAAACATAGGGCCGCTCGTTCCTGCAGGACAGGGAAACGTTACCTTCATCGCTGCCTTTGCCAGCTTCAGCCCCTTGGGTTAGCTGCTGCTCCTCACCCAGAGTTCTTGTAATGAAATCCTACTTCAACCTGCCTCAAACTAAAGTATTCTGGAAGCCTGCAAATGCCATTCTGCAGCCATGGGCTGCCGAGCTGGAACCCTCCCACCCCTTGGGCATTATAAGTGGCCCAGGAATCGGAACACTAAAGGATGAGCATGACGAGCTGCTGCATGCTTGTCACTTCAAGAACAAGAACAAGAATTAGCTAGGCTGATGAGCGTCCCTTATTCCCTCCATTACTATGGCCGCACGCTCAGAGGAAGCACCGACAGTCTGCACTTCCTTTGGAAGTGAGATGAGCAGAATGCCAGTTGGCCCTTCATTGGATTTTGAAGCAGAAGCTTCAGCCCAGCACCTCTGGGAAAGAGGGTGTTTGCTGCCCTCCAGCCAACTCTTCTCCCCAGTACCACCCAGCCGGGCCCTTGAGGGAGGAAGCACAGCCAGGAGAGCCAGCGCGACAGACAGAGGACATGGGTTGCGTCGTACCTGTGTTTGGCCTTGATGTGCATCTGCAGGCCGTTGCGACTTGAGGCCCTGTGCCCACACTCCTCGCAGACAAACAGCTTCTCTCCCCGGTGCTTGAAGGCCTCGTGAAGGCGCAGCTCTGTCCGAGACAGAAAGCACTTGGAGCAGGTCGAGCACTGCAAGGCCACAGGAGAGCGCGGGGTTAGGCAGCTCGCCCGGGCGCGCTTCGCAGCATATGCCCACAACAGGCTTGCTCGCTGCCCAAGACCTGGCCCTCCGCCTGCCGCTGCTGCTGCATTGGGGCTCTCCCTGCAGCAGCACCCCCCACTCCAAGACGGCTCATGAGATGAGGCAGCCTAACAAAAGCAAAATGCCGGTCAGTCCTTAGGTCTATCAGCCAAAACAATGACGAGGGCTGCTCCTGTACCAAAAAGAACCGTTCCCAACACCTCCAGGACACTCTAACTCCCTGCCTCACTAAACAGAGCCGAGCAGGACCATGGGTGCCATTCTCGAGGGCAAGCCTGAGCACAGGAACATTCCCTCTGAAAACCCCACTGCCGCCTGCTCCCCTTACCGCGTGGGGCTTTGGCGCGCCGTGCAGCTTTATCATGTGGCTCTGCAGGTCCTTCTTCTGCATGAACTGCTGGGCGCAGGAGGAGCACTGGAAGACAGGAGAGGAGGGTCAGCTTCCAGCCACCCCCCAAACAGCAATTTCGGCACACAGACAGGACCAGCGGTGTACCGGGCAGGGGAGCACTGTTCCAACGTGGAACACAAATCCCATGTAAGGCCATATAAAGCGCCTGGCCTTGGTGCCTCCCTGGAGCACATTTTGGCTCAGAGATGGGGAACAACCCTCAGCGGGCTGCCACAGGCCAGGGAAGGGAGCTGGTGCACTCTGCTCCCCTGATGGGCTGGGCCAGGCTGCCCTAAAACAAAGGCTCGCCCCCTCTTCCTTTGTGCCAGCACCTAGAAGCCATTCGTAGGGACCTCGAAGGCAGGCACTGCTGACCTTGTACGGCATCTCCCCCGTGTGCGACACCATGTGCAGCCGCAGCTCCATTCGCCTCTTGAACACCTCCTGGCAGACCGAACACGTGAAAACCTGCAAGAGATGGGGGAAGCATTGGCTTCCACAGAACCAATAGCCTGATAGGAAGCCTGCATCTCAGACCAGTGCTCGGCACTCAGGTGCTGGCACCTGGTTATGACGTTTAACCTGCACCCACAGTGATCTGGATCTCTTATGGTACAAAGAGTATCCTCATGTGCTTGAAAAAAAACAGACAATATGAGAGTTGCCTGGTAAATCAGACAAAAGCCGCTGCTGTCCTCATCAAGAGAGGGACTGGGGGGAGCCCTGGCTGTGCTACATGTGCCACGCGGCAGTGATGAGGGGTTTTGGTTCGGTAGCCAAGTGTGACGTGGACTGCGGCTGGAAAAAGGCTCTAATTCCGCCCCTGCAAAACAGCACCCGCTTCCCAGACCGCCAGCGGCAGCTTCCCAGGCATACCTGCTCAGATCGGTTCATGCAATTTCTGGCTTCATGTTCCAGGAGATTCTCCTTTCTGAAATAACATTTGCCGCATTTGGAACATTCAAATGGCTTTTCTCCAGTGTGTTTCCTAGGGGGAATACAAATGGAGAGCATCCATCACCGCCAGTCCACCAGCGGAGCCACACAAACAGTAAGGACACTGGGAAGGAACTGGGAAAGAAGAGGGAAGGACCCCACCCCAGCACCAATATTCACAGCTGCCCAAAAGCCGCCTCTTATGCCAGCTTTGCTGATCCCATGGGAGCGCAGTCAAGCTGTCAGTGCTCGCTGCATCCTACAAAACCTCAATTTCACAGGGGTAAGGCTCACCCCTTGCAGACAAGCAAAGCAGAGCCCGTGCCCTCTCCACACGATCCGCTTTGCTCTGTTATCAACCCTGAAGCTCCTCACAGCAGCCGGCCGTCCGGCCGTGCCAGTGTGCTCCCCACAACCCAGGCAAATCGCCCCACCGGTCCCTGCTGATTTTGAAAAGGATGATTTGCCATCGTCCACCTGCAGCTGGCCCATCCCCTGGAAGAGCCCCTCAATGCCTTCTTTTTGAGCTGGGCCAGCTCCGACCCCTGAGAGCAGAAGCTCAGGCTGTGTGCTGCGGGTTTCAGAGACGTCTAAACCCTCCAGCTCAAAGCAACCCCGCCCCGAGGGGCAGAGGGGACCCCCCTTTCCATCCCGGGGGCCACTGAGGCATTGAGACTAGCCAGCTGCAAGCAGGGCTGTTTGCCCACCCCCGCGGAAGAGCCGGCAGGCAGGGGCAGAGCCTCGTGGGGCGGCGTGGCGCAAGTCCCTACGCGCGGACGCAAGGGGAAGGAAAAGTCAGAGCGTTTACCTGTTGTGCACTTTAAGGTAATATTTGCTGAGGAAGGTTTTATGACATGTGGGGCACTCAACCGGCGCCGCTGTACCTTTTCTGCTCCCCGGCGTCCCCACCGCCCCCGCGCTGCTGGGCACCTTCCCTGGGGGGGGGGTCTTTTTGCTCCGCAGGCCCTTTTTCTCGGGGAG